GCCGTCTCCTCGGGTAATCGGTACCGTTTGCTTCATCGGTTCGGGGTAATCTCTCTTCTGCCGGCTCTCTGGTTTGCAGGAGATCCGCCGGGTCCTCCGCTGCGAAGTCACCCTCTGCTGTGGGATCTTCCCTGGCTTCTCCGTAGCCACGTTAACGCGGGAATTCATTTCCCTGCCTCGGGCCCCTCTAGCGTTGCTTGTCTGTCCGGCCCGGCCCCCTCTCTGGAGACAGAGGCTGCGCTGTCGGCTTTGGGGACCTTCCAAAGCCTCTTCCGAAGAGCCAAGGAGCAAAGAAAAATTTTCAGAGCCCTCCTTAAAGCAATCGCGATGCCCCTTGCAGGCGTCCACCCCGTTTCTGCTCTTGATTGCTGTCTGGCTTGTAGCTGCTTTCATGCAGTCCCCTCAGTCAGGGGGATGGACACGGGGGATCCCCGCGTCCCCCACGCAGCGCCCGGACTGGAGGTTTGACTCCTGCGGGACGCAGGAACGGAGGAACCGGGGGGCTGACCTGAAACTTAACGTAGATACTGTCTCTGCTCGGGAGTAAATCTAGAGCTGACGCCTCCCTCCCGCGCTTTCCAGCTAGTTCCTCTGGAAAGCAACGATTTACGAAGTCTGAAATTGCATCCTGGCCCATTTCCTTTGGGAAATGAAGTATTACATTTAACGCTTTCTGCCCTGGCGATTGCTCTGCTGTAACTCCAGAGCTGGGGCGCCGAAGCAGACCGAGCCCGTACCCTCCTTCGGCTGGTTCGGAGCGGTCACCGCGCTGAGAAGCGCCGGGGGCTGCGGCTGGGAGTAGGGAAGGCTCCGCACGAAGGAGTCGGGGTTCGCTGGCACCTCCCGCGGCTACAGAGGAGGTCTCGTCCTGCCACCCCACACCGACCCTGTCCCGGGGCGCAGGAGGTAGCGGGGCTGAAAGGAGGGGGTGACAGGCGCACACGTTCAGGGTGGCACGTCCCATTTCCACCAGGCTGAGGGGCCGCGGGCGGTCCCGGGTCCCGTTTGCCGGGGAAGGCCTCCAGCCGCGAGGCCGCAGCAGCCCGGTGACGCTACCCGAGGGCGGCTCCTTACTATTCCCCTTTCTCCCTGGCAGTTTCAGATCGGAGAGCTGGCAAATACTCTGACTAGTAAATTGGAGTTCCTGGGCATCAACAGACAATCTATCTCCAACTTCCACATGTTGCTGTTGCAGACAGAGGTAACCGAGCCTTCGCCCCTCGCTCCGGCCTTCTGTTCCGAAGCGGATCAAATACTGTCCGCCGCTCGAGCGCCGAGGGCCGGTGCT